CTACAGTTAGAGCTGGTGTGTCCATTGTGCAATGGGGTAGTGTAGAGAAGAATAATGTACTATGTATTTCTGAAAGCTAGAAGAAATGGTTCTGAATGCTTTCATCATAAAACAATAAATGTTTGAGGAGATATATTTAACCTGATGTAAGCATTAAATATTGTATACATGTATCAAAATATTAGGTTATCCCATTAATACGTATAATCCATATATTTTATGTAACATTTTTGAAAATACTTTTGAGATAAATATATCATATTCTTTTTTATTAGTGCACACTCACAGTATGTAATGATTACTTCTACCATGCAGAGTTGGTGCATGTACATAACACATCTTAATTCTTTATTCATTCCCTATGCCTCCAGTCCCTCTTTGCTGCTTCCAACTCTCAGCCCCCTTCCCATTTGCAAAAGCTCTATTTCCATATTTTTCTTCAATTCCTTTTTTTAAAAAATCTCCCTTTCCTCCCATCCTTCCCCTCTCCCTCCATCTCTTGCTACCCGTCCCATTTGAAAAATATCTTCCTACTTCTTAGTATGTATCTTTTATTTTTCTCTTTAGTTACATTTTGGGTCTCGCATATAAGAGAAATCATGCTGTATTTAAACTTGTATGTCTGATTTATTTCGCTTAATATTAGACTCTCAAGGTGCATCCATTTACCTATGAATGCCTCAACATTATTCATCTTTATGGCAGAGTAGTACTCCATCGTGTATAAATACATTTTCTTTATCCATTCATCTGTTGATGGACATATAGGCCACTTCCAAAATTTAGTTATGATGAGTTGTGCTGCTCTAAACATATGTATTACTGTATCACTATAGTATGGTCACTTTAACTCTTTTGGGGAAGGTACCTAGAAGGGAAATAGCTGAGTCAAACAGAATTTCTATTTTCAGTTTTTTTAAGAATCTCTGTACTGCTGGGCGTAGTGGCACACGCCTGTAATCCCAGCACTCGGGAGGCTGAGGCAGGAGGATTGCTGTGAGTTCGAGACCAGCCTGGGCTGCATAGTGAGTTCCAGGTCAGTGTGAAATACATAGTGAGACCCTGTCTCAAAGAAACCAAAAAAACCCCAAATCTCTGTACTTATTTCCACAGTGGTTATTCTAGCTTATATTTACACCAACAATGTAGAAGGTTTCTTTTTCCCATCTTGTATTCTTAACAAAAAATTATATGTAAATAATCATACAGCCAGCAATTCCATTTCCCATGAGAAAACAAAGTTATGTCCCCACAAAGACTTGATCAAAATGTATTCACAATAATTTAAAAAGTTAAAACAACCTGAATGTCAATCAATCGGTCAATGGACACACAAAACATGCTGTACAAGATATGATCAAAAGACATGGTGAGTGATCACATTAAAATATTCCTTATAGTAAAAGATACATTGTCACTAATCTCATTCAGAATACTCCCGTTCATGTCTAACATATTTATCCCATCACTCTTGCCACTTTATGAAGTAGCTGTGAAACTCCTCTTTATGGGTATCATAGTTGCACAGTGGTGGCTGCCTCAATGTCTTGAATGGATTCACAATGGTCATTTTAACTTTGGAGAACAGCCAGAATTCCCATGGTGACAGATTCAGAAAATAAGGTGGATAAAGACTCATGGTGATGTTGATGTTTGGACAGAAACTGCTGTACCAGAATCAGTGGAGGATGAAACCATTTGCCCAATTCTCATGTTCAAATCTGCTTTGAAGGGAAGCATAAGGAAGTTTCCTCAGGAAGTTTCCTTAAAAATACATCCTATGTTTGATAGAATCATTCTTTTGCAATATTCTCTTGTTTTGTGTTTGCTTGCTTCTTTGTTTGTTTGTTTTTGCAGTACCAGGGGTTGAATTCAGGACCTTGCCCTTGCGAGGCAGAAGTGGTACCACTGAGCTACATCCCTGGCTCTCTTGGGTTTTTCATGTTGATCGACATCCCAGTCTCTCCTTATTTTCAACCAACTGATATCCATTCAAAATTGCTCAGATACTTGTACACTGTCTTCACAGCCCCTGCAACCTCATTATAAATTAATTTTCACATTTCATATGCTTCTAAAAGCATTTATTTGCAGTTTGAAACAAAATTTCATGTTAACACGATTCACGATCCTGATTTAAGGTATATTTTAAGATACACCTTTTCTCAACCGCAGCTCAAAACTGGCTGCAATGAACAAGTAGAAACATGTTACACACAGTTACACTAAGGTTCAATGTGCCACTTCTGCTGTTGAAAACCCCTGCTTTTCCACTGGTGGCCCTTGTCAACAGCATCCAGCATATTTTTGTTGTCACATCTCACATTCTGATAATGGACTACTGTTGAGAAATGGAGCTGAAAGGGCTTCAAGTTTATACGGCAATATAAAACGAAGAAGTAATCCCCACATCATGATTCGGTTTACATGGACTTTCCAGTAAAAGCAAATGATTATTGATAGAAGAATGGTGATTAGAGGTTGCCTGAGAGTGAAGAATAAATGGGTATAAGTTATCTTTTGTGTGATGGAAATGTTCTAAACCTGGGACTGTGATAATTGTTTCATGACAGTAAATTTACTAGAAGTTGTTGGTTTGCATATTTCCCTTTTTGATTTGTATGTTTGTAATACATAATAAATGCATTCATCATAACTAATATAGATATATTTCCTGATTTTTTACTTATTTTTCCCTTCCACTCCCTTCTGTTTACCCAAGATCCCTTGCCTATCTTCTATAATTTATTTTGATCTTTAGAATGTTTATAATTTGGGTTTTTTGTATAAGATGAACCATGTAGTATTTAACTATCACTGTCTATTTTACACAGTATTTTGAGCTCCAAGTTATTCCATTTTCTTTCGAATAACTCAAAGGACTCCTTTAGGGCTGAGCAATGTTACATGGTTTATGTACGCTACATTTTCTTTATCCATGCATCTGTTCATGGGTATAAAGGCCATTTGTATGGCTTAGCATAGTTCTGCTGCTATTAACATGGATATTCATGTACTGTTGTGATATGTTGTATTTAACTCTTTTAGGAAGATACCTGCAAGAGGTTTACTTAGTTTAAATAGAATTTTTACCTTTAGCTTTTCAAGTAATTTCTATACTGATTTCCACAGTGGTTGAACTAGTTTATATTCCCACCTACAGTGTAACAGAGTTCCTTACCCCATTGACTTCGCCAGCATTTTTTGTTTTGAGTTGTTGATAGTCATTCGTTCTATGAATGCAACTGCCTGTTCTTTTCATTGGCATTCTGATAATGACAAAGAAATCAGGAATAAATTAAAAATTCCCTAAAATCAAGTGACAATGAAAGCACAACAAAGCAAAACCTACTGGACATGGTGAAAGCAGTCCTAAGAGGGAAGTTTACAGCAGTGAATGCACCCGGTAAAAGACTACAGTGACCCCAAACACAACCTCAGGATGCATCTCAAGGTAACAGGAAAACAAGAACAATCCAAATCCAAAACTACTAGAATGAAAGAAATTATAAAGCTCAGAATGGAAACTAATGAAGTAGAGACCACAAAAATATAAAGGATCAATGAATCAACAAAAGGGTTCTGTTAAAGGGAAACCAGATTAATAAACCTTTAGCCAAACTTACCAAAAGAAGGAATGATAAACCATAGCAGTGCAATTAGAAAAGAAAGGTGGAATCAAAACAGACACCAGCAAAGCTTACAGGAAACTATTTCTAAAACTTATACTTGTATAAGTTGAAGAACCTAGAAGAAATGAAGAAAATCTTAGACACATATGAATTACCAAAGTGAACCAAGAAGGTGTCCAGTGCTATCTCATTTCAGCACACAATTCTCTAATGACAAAGATTTATCAGCCTTATAATTTTTTAATTGGGGTTGTTGAGACGGGGTTTTGGTTTATAATTCAGGCTGGCCTTGAATTCACTACGTAGGCAAGTTTACCTTCCAACTCGTGGTGACCCTCCTGCCTCAGCCTCCTGAGTACTGAAACTACAGGTGTGTGCC